AATACTTATGTACAGAATAACAGTGATAGTGATGCCACTTTCAATCAACCTTTGAAGACCAATGCATGATTGGCTCCTACCTGAAGATCCGAGAGATCGTTCCACGAGACGACGGTGCAAATGCTGATCTTAATGTGAGACAACAATGATCGCCGATGAAATCATCAAGCGATAATGCCTTTCCGCCGTCGAAGAGAGAACAAGGACCCAGATCGATAGAGACGCATGTCAGTTGGAGGGAAAATTATACGGTGACGGTGCTAATAAGGTCCTTGTCTGGAGTCAACGGTTAATACCACCCCCGCGAAACAGTGAGGGTCTCTAGATCTTGGCGGAGCTTCAGGTATCATCCGCCCACTCTCCACCCTGTCATGTTCACGGACCCGTACGCGGGATGGTATGATTCGCGGTATGAGGCTCGACAAGGGAAGCGAGACTGTAATATAGACGGCTCGTCAAGAACCAGGCAGCACTCGTAGCCAGAGCCAATGCCACAGCCATGAACATGAGCATGGTAGACCGCATCTGAAACGCTTCGTCTGCTTCCATCTTCATGAGCTGCTTCTGCTTGCTGTGATAGTGCCAGCGGCCATGGGCGTCATGATCCCTATGGCCAATGTGCTGGTATGGCTGGAGGAACCATTGGGGCAACCATTTCGCTTGCCAGTTACCGGTACCGTAGAAGTTGTTTCGGCCAGCAGTATGGCGAAAGTCCACCAGGAGGAGCGAGAAGAGGAAGACTGTTATGTTGACGGGCGTCATGATGAACTAAAAGATCTGTGTCAGTATTGTTGTGACAAGCAGAGAATACGACCTTGTTCGTTGATTTCATAAGACCTTAGAACAAAGAGAAGGCAAGACAAGACGATACGCTTTCCGACTTCTCTGGCAATAACCACAGATGATCTCTGGACAGGTAGTAACCTACGGAATAGAGAGTAGAGGGCTGGTTATTACCGGCACTCTCAGGTTGGGGACCAATTTTGGCCATGATGGGAGAATGAATATGGCAGTGTATTATAACGAGTGTCGAGAAGTTTTTGACGGCGGATGTGAGTTCAAGTTCATAGCAAACATATATATGTCCCAAACACTTCGTTTCTAGGTCGTTGTTGGTATTTGATTCTAGGGCCCACCTGACTGAGTGAATCAGACAAAGAGCTTATGAATTGGTTGTGGCTCACTTACGTAGCCGCCCTAGTGAGGTCATCGCGTGGAGGTTGCTAGCTAATGGATGCCCGCAGGATTCCCGAAGTTCCCGATCACTAACATCAATTCCTGTAATTATTGCCGGGAGGCTCTACATACGTTGGATCGAGAAAAAGACCTTTTTGCCGTTAGTTTAAACCCCGACAAATGAGCATTTGCACGTTTCGCATATAAGTTACCATCTGAGCCATGTAACATGCTGTCCAGCCTCAGTCCTTCTGCCAAGCCACCATCTCAAAGCATTCAGCCTCATCATGATACGACGTATGCGGCGTCGATCATTCCCGCCCAAGCTCCGAGTCCAGGTACCGATAGCATCCGGCCAGGCACAATTTCCGATCTTCGCCTCAAGGTGAGAAATAGTTATTCAAGTTTGAATAGGGATATCTCATTACAACGGAGGTGACATGGCGCTTACAAGCAGCCCGTATATTACAACCCCTCTTTTAGCCTGATACCCAGCCGGCCATTGATTTTCCAGAGCGCCATTTGCCCATAATCCCACGCCAACCGGTGCCTATGCATATCAACGCCTTCTTCCCTGACCCATCATATGTCCTCTTTCAGCGCGCATTGTGAATGTCGAGGACAAGGATGTCCTGAGCACCAATTCGGGTCAAATTGTCCATCACCAGAGCAATCTTCTTCTTCTCGACCATGGAGCTGACTGCAACCCAGCCCTCCTCATCCAGAGTTGTAACTGTCGCTGAGCGCTTCCCAGGAGTAACCTTGGTTGCCTCAGCCAGACGGCTTCGCTCCACATTGTACTGGCACAGGACGTAGCTCTTGGCGGTGATAACACCACGGATACGCGAAGTGATGAGGTCGATGAGCTCAGGGTTGGATGGGGATTTGGACTTGATGAGCACGGCGGTAGAGTCCACAACAGTGTCAATGGCCTTGAGCCCAGCAGCTCGCATGGTCTCTCCGGATTCTAGACGTTCATTGTTAGTTACGGTCCGTCACAGTCGGCGAAGCAGGCCTCGAGTATTCCACATACCAACAAGGTCGACAATGCCCTCAGCAACGCCAAGAGCACATGCTGCCTCGACACTTCCACTCAACTCAACAATCTTGGTACGCATCTTGCGAGGCGAAAGCTCTCCCTGTGCACTCTCGCCATGCTCTAGTTTCAGGAAATAGTCGGCAGCGAGGTTGACGAAGCTCGTCCCAATCGTCTTTCCAATGAGATCCTCCGGGGTCTTATACTGGCCCTTCTCGGGGACCTGAACCTGAAGCTTGCAGCTGCCGAAGCCCAGTTCCATAACCATATCAGAGCCAGCAACCTTATCGTCGGATGACGACAGATCAACAGAGCTACGTCGTAAGTGATTATAGGCACGGACTGAGGCATCGTGCTCCTGAACTTGGTCCCATCCGGTGATACCGAGGTCGCAACGACCCTCGCCAACGAACGTAGGAATATCGGCGGCGGGGAGGAAAATCAGGGCAATAGGGAGATTCTTGACGAGAGCGATATCGAGACGGTTCTCACGACGGAATTGGACGTCGGCGCCCTCGAGGAGGTTCAGTGTGGCAGCATTGAGCCGGCCCTCTATGACGAATGAGCATAAGAATGTCGATTGGAAGGATATGGGATGACTTACTCTTGGGCACAGCGAAAAGAAGACGGCCTTCGAGACTGGAGGGGATTTTGAATCAGCGACCGCATTGTGAAGGTGGGATGTTGAGGGACGACTTTGACGATGCAAAGGTAACAACGGGGCGGACCAACCTGTTGACGAGATCCATGGCTGGCTACAGAAGTGATACAATGCAATGCAATGCTTCTTCGCTTGGACTAGGTATGGGTAGGTAGTTTGAATTAGGTAAATCACACAGCAAGGTAAGGCAGTCGGGGAATTTATTATTATCTGTGGTGACTGCTAATGACTCCGACTGCGGGGCTTTAAGACGATGGCGGGGCTTCGTGTATAGGTTTGGCGGCACCACCATGCCTCATTTCATATGCTGGGGCAATGTGATTGGGGCTCTGGTCAGGCACCACATAACCAAATAAACACTGGCATAGACCGACCATCGGGGGAAAGATGTTGACAGGCCCACCAATCAGGAGACACGCAGATAACACGGTGCTGAAGATAGGTAGAGTCATACATCCAATGTTTTCTGAAGTCCATATCCAGCCAGTATTGAGCATTTCAAGTTACGAATTGAGGGCTTGGTTTTGATAATATGCCGAAACAACATGTACCCCCGAAAATGTATTTGTTGTATTTATAGACTTTCAATTGACTTTGCCAATCAAACTTACCCTGTTGGTAGCCGCAATGTCTTTCTGTAATCACTCCCAATTGGGTTCAAATGTCTTGTGCACTGGATTTGTACCATGTATCGTGCGGTTGATGAGATTCCATCCGAAATTAGACCGGATTGGCAGCAACCAGACGAATAATAGGTAGTCGAGCCGTTATCAGGCGAGACACAATGAATTGTAAGGATGTTGAACAAAGCCTCTGATCAAGACATTGCGGGTTCAAGGCCAAGGAATCGATCGAGGTGGTTTCTCCATCAGGTAGGGACAAAGCGACGCAACCCCAACACAAGTGTTTATCCCACGAGGATGCAGTCATGTCGTTCAGCTAGCAATGTGGCTGGCTGTGGTACTGACCGAAACAACATTCTCCGAGCAACTTGGATAGAAGATGGTGTGCTCGCTCAGCATGTGTTACTTACTGTCTCTGATTGTGGTATCATGTGGCTTGCGTTCGTCCATATGTACCTTTCTTTTCCTCGCCCATTCACCTTGTGCTACACTTTGTTGGGGGTGTGCTGCCTAGGTCCTTTTCCCCGTCTTGTTTCTTTTTCTCGTCTCTTTGCTGACGCCTACTTCATAAACCCCGACGGCCCAGTCCTTGTCGAGTCTCAGTCAAGGTCTCAGTCAAGGTCTCAACCGCAACAAAGTCTTTGTCCAGTTCAGCCCAGCTCACTCAGCCCAGTCCAGAGCTGAGGAGTCACAGATCTTGGCTCCCCTCGCTCGCTAAGCTGCCTCAGCTACCGGTTGGTTCGGTCCAAGCCCTCTATGACCTTTCTGTCTAATTCTCGGGAACGCCTAGATATGCTATGCCATACCTTAACCACTGCGTCGGGATAGAACTGAAATCATCGTGGGGATCAGAGTTCATCAGCTTGAGACCATTACGGCAATAAGTCCTGGGATAACGGAGCCGACCAGGGAATCGAAGCCCTTTTAGCGCTCCCGGGCCGCGCCACTTGGGAGCTAAACCTCCAGCTCCACCTCAAACTTTCCATCAATTTACACTTTACCTTCAGCCGGGCTTCTGGGTTCTCCACCTGCCGCCGCCCGCGCGACGTCGACGACATCCCATAGTGCCTCCAGCGCCTAACTTAAGGTACCTAACTGACTTTGCTTTGCTTTTGCCCAGCTTCATTTACATCCTACCTACCTACCTTCCCTTACTTTGTATCGTCGGCCTCTCCTTCTGGTGGCTTCGCCTGCTGGCGCTTTCGTCCCCCCCAAAGGCCGACCGACATCTGGTCTCGTCTTGTTTCGCTTCTCTTCGCTCTTTGGCTCAGGACGAATTCCAAAGGGATTTCGACGTAACGCAACACAACAATTGTCGGAGCATATGCTCTTATAGCTCGCCCTGCCCGCACAGATTCTCCTCTTCGCTTCGTCCTCCACAGATCATCCATCCTCTACGGATACCTACCTCACCATCCTTTTTATTCCTTCTTATATTATATTTATACGCAGACTTACACCCGGCACCATTTGTCGATAATCTTATCATCGATCGCAAACCGCAATGAATTCTGCCTATCACCCGCCCGACATGTCTCAGCGAATCCCTGGCCCTGCCTATTCTTCCAGCGCACCACCACCACCAATTCATGCCTACCAACAACACCAGCATCCTCCTCCGCCTCTGCCGCCCCCGGGTCAACATCACCACTCGTCTCATCCTCCTCTGCCTCCTCCGCCGTCAGCTCCACATCCTCACCACCAACATCCACCGCCGCCGCCACCCTCCCACTCGCTATCTTCGCATCAACACCATGGCCAACCACCCCATCACCAGCCTCAACTCCCGCCATATGCCCCAGCTCCATATCAACAGCCTCAGCCAAGTCAATACCCTCGGCCCCATCCGCACCAGCAACACGTCCCTCCTCCTTCGCAACATGATGAACCTCCTCCCCCGCCTTCCTCGGGACCATCCCCTACCGACTATCAGAAAGATTCCGAATACGTCCCCCCATCCTACTCCAAGATTGAAGAAGGATCAGGCTGGAAGTACAGGTTTGTGGCCAAGGCAGATCCTTCAAACTTCCTTCGCGACGCCGCTGAAACGATTTCATAGTCTTGATGTGAAGCAACAACCCGTACGTGCGCGCATGTGTGGATTTGGCGATAAGGTCTGTTTCTTTCGTTGCCTGTGAGCCCCGATCATATGTCTCACAGTTCTGATTTAGGATCGTCGCCCAATCACGCCGCCGCCCTGTGTACGTCTTGTCATAATCAATACCGAGACGGGTAAAGAGGTTGACTACAAGTACGTTGATGCAGTCGCGAGAAAGAAAAGGGGCACCTTGGCTTGTGCTAATACATAATGCGTAGTACCCTAGACCACGCCATGTTTGTGTTGTCGGTCGATCTGTGGAATCATGACGGTACCAAAGAAGTCAATCTGGTGCGGTCCTCAACCGGGACTGGCGCTACGGCATCCTCAAGTACCTACACTTATTCGTCCTTAGAACCAGGGACCCCTTCGTACCAGCAACAGTCGTTGCCCCCGAGTCGCGAGTCTGGATATGGGCAATCGCAAGGGATGAACTATGGGCAGGATTATCCCCCACCGGTGCAGCAGAGCTATGGTCAAGGTTGGTCGAAACAGGAGGAATAACAAGCGAGAACAAATCCGTGTCTGACGCAGGAGTAGCACCGTCGTACCCGCCGAGCAGTTCCTACGGTCCGCCCCAACAATATTACCCGCGACATAGCGGTTACAGTGCCGAACCTTCCGCTCCCCCGCCAGGTGCCCCTTTCCGCAATGGATATGGACAGGATCAAAATTCGCTTACTAGGATGGCAGTGGTTGGAGGTCAGCCCCAAGGCATGTTTACGAGAAACTTGATTGGCAGTTTGGCCGCAAGCGCATTCCGTCTCGAGGACACTGAAGGGCAATCAGGTATCTGGTTTGTCCTCCAAGACCTCAGCGTCCGTACAGAAGGGACCTTTCGGTAAGGACAACTGGATTTGGTCTGTGCCGTGGCTTGTAATCGCTGACGCTGAAGCTGCAGATTAAGGTTCTCTTTCGTCAATGTTGGACGCCCCGGAGGGCAGGGAACCAACGTAAACCAAGGCCGAGCGCCAATCCTGTCGTCGTGTTACAGCGAGAGTTTCCACGTGTACTCGGCCAAGAAGTTCCCCGGCGTGTGTGAAAGTACACCATTGAGCAAGAAATTCGCAAACCAAGGCATCAAAATCCCGATCCGTAAGGACGCCAACATCAAGGGCGAAGGTGATGAAGAGATGTACGATCAGAACTGAAGAATCTGCGTGAACTATATCGCCAAGGAAATATCCATAATTGTTTGACCATATCAGAAATGGGCTTTGGAAATTTGACTATTCAAAGAGTTGCAATCCGCAGGAGAAGGAATAGCTGGCGCACACAAAAGGCAATCGGCACTGGAAAATAGGCCAAATCATGACTATCCTTTCTTTGTACAAGGCTCCAGGATATGCCGCCAAAACGTATAGTGGTACTGCCCTTGTCAGGCAAGGCGTCATGTCAATGAATACTGGGCATAGATGCCGGCGTTGGTGTTCGGAATTGAGTCGATTTCTTATACTTTATGCTTTTGTCCTAGCTTGCAATTCAGTATGTCGGTGATGCTGCAGTTCGACACCTCTAAAGAGCCAATAAAGCGTGTGAAGCCAAGTGTGAGATCGACAGGGCAAAGGGTTCCAGTTAGCTCGAGAGCAAAAGATGACTGTATCATGGCCGAACCAGGGGTTCAAGGAGTCAACGTCATCGCACTTAGACAAGCTTAGCCGCCAAATTCAGGGTCTTGTGTCTGATTAGCATGGAACAACCCTGATGGAATCTAGCTATGTAGTTAGTACAGGCTATAAGCCACAAACAGCAGCATCCCTTGCACATTTCGAGGTTTTGAGGATGAGGCTTGCGATTGAATGCCTTTTCGAGCAGGTTCTCCCCAGCTTCCATACCTAGGTAGCTATGAGCCACCGAGCCAGACCAGCCCGTCGTGTCGGGGCACGCCAGTACAGAAACGGCTATGGATAAACGCTGGTACCGGCACGCAAGAATATGAGAGTTTACGCCTTATGCGGGAGCGAGCGCCGCTGGGAACTCGGAGCCCGGCGAGAGCGAAGACGATCTACAGATCTCTGATGAATAGATTCTCTTGGCGACGAGAGGCCATTCGGCCAACTTACTTGCTACTTGGCCGAACAGTGAGACCGAGACCATGAAAGGGGAGAATTTTATGGAAGACTCGTGTTGTCATTACCGACATGAGTCGCATACCTGACGTGGTAGGCGCACAACTCACGGAGAATTTTGATGTCCTCATGTGAAGACCGACCAAGGAACTTGTCTTTCGCTACCTACCTACCTACCTACCTACCTACCTACCTACCTTACGGAGTACCTTATGCGCTTTCGCAACTATTGGTTCGATGTACGATAATTCCCCTTGCGGTCCCTAAGTGAGGATAACATCCTCGTAACTCGGTTTCAATTTATGGCTAACACCCGGACATCAAGTGACCCCAGGCTCTCAACACTGAACCCCTCGTGGGCCTCAGAAAAGCTTGTATTGACTTCGTATATCGGAAGTACCCTGCCCAGATCTGGGGCAGCACGAGGCCATCAAAATTTATTACGCAACCAATTTCTATGACTGGACATGGCCTCTTAGTGCCCTGGCCAAGTGGAACTGGCGCACGGGTACTTATGTCTACAGTACTTGTCCTAGACTTGGGTGAGCTTTAACTGAGCCTCATTCTTCAAATGGACAAGGGTTGAGAGGAGGACAGCGCTATTCAACCAGAGGTTGAAAGAGAGAGTTAGGACAATTTGACTCGAGAATAAACTTCAAGGTAGTGCAGAAGAAGCAGCTTCAGCTACAACGCCCAGCTGAAGAGATCTCGCCCTATAGCTCACAACCCAGTAGCCCAGGTCCGGGGCAGCCTAGTGAGCACAAGGCCAGTCTAGGCCATATACTCTATGACTGGGCGCAGTGGTTCGGTGGGGGGAAAGGCCGCAGCGCCTAGGAACCTATCGAATTTTTTTCTCTTTCCCCTGTTTAGTTGATCATGGGAACACTTCCAGGGCAGGGGAAAATTTGGTAGCAAGTTACAACATCAATCACGAGGACTTGGCATTGAGTTAAAAACCGTCACTACCGCCTCCAGCTAAATCTCCTTCACTCAAATAAACTTTTCTCTTTATCATTACAATTCCTTAGAGACGTGCTCCTGAGCGTCCGACTTGACAAATTTTCAATCTACTCAGCAACTCCTGGACAGCCATTAGTTTGGTTGTTAGTCACTCAAGAACACGGCAACCACCTACACAACCACTACCCCTCAACAAACAACAACACCCTCTCTTCAAAACTCACACATCTTTCACAATGCTCTCCTCTCACGGTCGAGGTGGTGCTGGCAACATGGCCGACTCAACCCACACTGAGAAGACAGATCCCAGCAAGCTCCAGACTCCCGTTCTCAAGGGCTCTGTTGTCACCACCGGCCGTGGTGGTACAGGCAACATGGCCAAGAACGATGACCCTCGTGAAACTCGCAAGCGTCAGGACGTTGAAGCGTAAGTTTTTTTTATCATCCCCCCTGCCAGTCAATATCAGGGATCATTCCCTCTGGAATCGTTGCTGACTCGAGACAAAAGTATCCCTCGACGCCCCTCATCTGGTGCTCAGCATTCTGGCCGTGGTGGCGCGGGCAACGTCTTCAAGGACAAGGAGACAGAGTTGACCCGCAAGCCCAGCAACGACGAAGCTATCACTGACGAGGAGGAGCCCAAGTCTGCCAACTCACCTAGTGCTGCTGGCGAGTCGTTGGCTCAGAAGGGCAAGAACTGGCTCTTTGGCAAGAAGGTATAGGACTTCAATGACCTCCAAGTTTCAACATGCCCAATTCTAGAGATGAGAGGTTTCATGTTCTACTGCTATTGGGTCTAGTTATTTTACAGTACAGCTCGGTGTTTTGGCGCCTTTGATATTGAATCTGAAGCAGGGTCCTGGCTACTAGGTAGACAATTTTATGAAGGACGCGTCAACATACAGGACAAAGGGTGGAAAGGGGGAAAAGCAAAAGTCAAGATACCAATGGTTCCTATTTATTAAACGATTTACAAACAACGGGTTATTTTTCTCAGTACCTTTGACCAGGCTGTTTTACTATGTTACATTTTTTTCGTGTCTACTGGTAAGGTATTCTCTCAATCCTTTTCTGATGCCCCCCCCCCCCTTATTTACTTTGATGTTCAACCCAGCATAGACACATGATAGCTCAAAGTACGCCTTCATCAACACAGCACACATTGATTTTTTTGCCATTAGTTCTTTTTGGTCAAACGGTGAATCTCCTCGAAGTAGTGCTTGAGATGATCAGGGTTTACGCCAGGTGTAATTCCTGCAATAGGTCAGCCCCACGTCCAGCCCAGTATTGTATCGCAGAGAACTTACCGTGGCCAAGATTGGCGATCCAGCCCTTGTTGCCGACCCAGAAACCCTCGACCATCTCCTCCACGGCCTTGGTGATAGCCTCCTTGGTACCATACAGTACCCCTGGGTCAGCATTGCCCTGGAACACAATGTTGCGGTCACCTCGGATCTTGACGGCCTCCTTGGGATCATGTAACCAGTCCATGCCAACCACATTATAACCCAGGTTGCAGGCAGAGTCGAGTGCGTACCAAGCACCCTTGGGGAACACGGTCATGGGAACCTTGTCCACGCCGAGGCTCTGGAGCTTGGCGGGAAGCTTCTCAGCGATTTGCTTCAAGTAGGGCTCAGAGAATTGACGGTAAGAAGAAGGGCCGAGCTCTCCTGCCCAGGAGTCAAAGACCATCACCAGCTATAAAGTTCGCAAGTCAGTCATATATAGTGCAGTTCTGGAGGAGAGCATTCTATACCTGAGCACCAGCCTTGACTTGAAGTGCCAGATGATCCACGCATATATCGGCGATCTTGGCCAAAAGCTTCTTTGACTCCTCAGGATACTTGTAGATCCATGTCTTGACCTGCGCAAACAGCTTGGTGCCACCACCCTCGACCATGTAGCAGAACAGCGTCCAGGGAGCGCCGCAGAAACCAATCAAGGGCACCTGTCCCTCAAGTTTCTGGCGTGTTAGTGTGATAGCGTCGTACACGTAGCCGAGTTCAGCGGCAACATCGACATTCTTAGCGAGCACCTGACCGTACTGTCCGTCATCGGGGTTCTGGAGCGGGTTCGGGAAATGAGGGCCCTTCTTCTCAACCATCTCAACAGTCATACCCATTGCCTGGGGGATGACAAGAATATCGGAGAAGATAATGGCGGCATCGATGAGACCTGCGAATCGACGGACAGGCTGTAGGGTGATTTCGGTTGCGACTTCAGGGTCGCGGCAACATTCGAAGAAGTCTCGGTTACCTTTGGCTTCGTGGTACTCGGGTAGGTAGCGGCCGGCTAACAATTGATCAGGTCAGTATTGTGTGCTTTTACCCGTCGGTCAAGATATCTTCTCACCTTGTCGCATCACCCACATAGGAGGGCGTTCAACGGTCTGACCTAAGTTGCAACACAGCAAGTCTCAGCACAATTCTTCCCATGATTCTCACAACTGAGGCTTGGACAACCCACCCCATGCTGCGCGAAGCAACAGGTCGTTCTTGAGAGGTGCGAAATCTTGCGACATTGTATGTGCTGTTCAAATTATAGGTAGTCAAGTCAAATTGGTCCAACAGCTCAGGAATAACTGCAAGTTACAGATTGTGACTTTTAAAAGAAGTTCCAATTAAACTACAGATACCCCGCCGAGGACTGCCCATATGGAATCATAGTGGAGGGGTCCTTTTCTTAGGTACACTTGGGGGGCCGAGCTTAGGTACTGAGCATGGGCAAGGTTGATTCCAAATGAACCAACCAGGCTCACCTCCATACAAGCCTACCTCACCCATCGGCACTCGGAACTTTGGACGGACCGACACGCTGTCATTACAACGCTGCTAGGCACTCCAGCGCGTTGTTAGCTGCTTTCAAGATCCATCCATACGAAGCTATACCCACAACCTCGAACTTCAATACTGTCTCCCTACAATCGCTCTCATCTGGAAAAGCCTGACTTGAGTGGCCCATCTTCATCCGCAACAATGCCTTCCGAGCGCGAGCTTCAGATTAACCCCATCGTTCCCGAGTCTGTGGTCCATAACACAAAGGTTCGCTCCCTCGCTCTTCATGAATGTTGCTATCACTAGCGATCCATTATCCACGCTCAAGTTCCTGCGAGCTGATCATCTATACAGGCTCTCTCCAACCTCCACAGCCTTACCGCGTCTCTGTTCGGGGTCAGCGCCGGTGTCCTCGGCCTCGAATCTTATTACGGTTTCCTCGTCTACATCATCTTCTCCTGCATCACTGCTCTCCTCTTTTACGCCCTCAAGGTAGCTCCGGAATCACTCCCCAAAGGCCACGCTCCTCTCGATCCTTCTCGTTATTATCGTGGCATGTTCGAGTTCTGGCTCGGTGGCATCTTCAATGGCGTCTCGGGCTTTGTCTTAACTTGGACATTGTTTTATGGTTTGGTTCGGGCTTAGATATAAAGCATCATATATCAGCATACAAATGGCGTTTCTGGAGTTATGATACAAGATATCCAGAGAGACATTGTGACTTCAAGAAAGCAACTAGTATTTAAAAAGCATCATCCAAAAGGGCAAGCTAGAGGTGTCGGTATTCTACACCAAAAACGCCAAATGTTCAATCATAAATCTCAACAACTTTTCCAACAAATCCTTCTAGTCCAGATTTATCCTGACTTCCGCCTTCTAATAGTATGACTCGTGAGCCCATCTCAATCCATTCACGGTGATGGATAAGCTCCAAGCCCATCTCCACTCCGCCCCTCGTCGAATCAGTTTTCTCCTTCTCATTACTCGTTTCGAGGTCGTCGTTGAGGTCGAATATCTCCTCAATGTCGTCTGCTTCTCTTGCTCCTGCTTCCCATCCTGGACCTTGACGCGATATCTGACGTATGCGAGCCACCGTCCGAATACTGGCGATGTAGATATTTACGAAGGAACCGATTGCGAGGGCCTGAGCATCTGGGTCATCAAAGACGGCCGTGAAGCCGCTCGCAGCTTGCAACTTCAACCCCGTGTCTGCCATATGTTTCGACGGTATCGCCAAGATCATGCCACGCCGAATGCGTGGGGGCTCAATGGGAATATTGGAGTCCGGATTGCCGTTCTGGGAACGGTGTGAGAGTGATTGTATGACGAGACCGATTGATCCGGCTTGTCCAGATTCAAGAGTCAGAACAGGGAGTCTCAAGTTACGTATGCTCACAATCTGAGCGTCATGCCATTCCCCTGGAGTCGCTGATGCAGAGACGGCATTTTTCATGGCAATGCGGGCCAACTCTGCAGAAGAAGGGTGCGAAATCGAGAGTCCGTAGCTACCAGGAGATTGCCTATCCTCCGGGGTTAAGTCGCGAGCTTCGTCATCATTTGGTGGGAAAGGTCCAATAACAATCTTGTCCCCAACAGCGAGTCGTCCAAACCTGAGATAGCCTGACACGACAATACCAGGGTCTGCTTGTTTTCCCAAGGCACCTGTCATGTTGCTGTACGACGTTGGCAGAGAAAAGGTATCGTCGATATGGAATAGGCATTTCGGCTGCTCTGGATTCAACGCCATCCCAACATAGTCACGAGCGGTCGGTGTTGGCGGCAATGGCAGGTTTTCCAAAAGTGCATGCAGGAGGCCAATACCACTTCCTCTTACTGCACTTGTGAATGCTATTGGAACAATTTCGGTTAGGTTGCCACTCTCCGAGATCCCCTTAAGTAGGTCTTGGACCTTGGCCGAGTCATCGTCAGGTACTCGGTCCAAATCGCTCCATACCTTCTGATCAGGCCGCAGGATTTTGGGTATACGCCCAGCTTCTTTGACGGCCGACAAGATCTTGTTTGTGGTTTTATGCGCGCTTGTCCTGGAAGCGAGATCCATTTTGGTGATGACAACTGCCAAAGGGATATCCAATTTGAGTGATAATGTAAGATGGGCTTTGACAAGATCAGCTCCCACTGATGTGACTCCCAGAACATCCTGCGTTGAGGATGTTACCCCATGTCCTTTGGTGGCTGTATCTCCATCATCTACAGCCAAGCACAAGATTATCCAATGAGGTGCCCAGTTCATCAGCCCACGAAGAACTGTCCGGCGATATCTTGGATGGCCAGCAGAGTCAGAAACAAACACCAAGCGACCACCCTCGGAACAGTCGTGTATATCGACCCAAGACTCGATGTTTCCGTGACTGTAGTTTAGAATTGACTGGTCTTTGTATCCGATGAGTTCCTGAGCTATTGAACTGGTAACCCCGGTGGCCACTTCGTGTCTATGCTTGAGCAAGCTGAGTCGACTATTGCCACGCCCGTTGTCTAGTGTCCCGGTTGATAGAGTCCCTAAAAGACTTGATTTACCTGATGTGGTAGGACCGGTGAAGGTGACTCTTAACTGTGGTGTTGTTGAACTACCACGGCTAGGTACGGCAGCGCTCTCTGTAATGGCTTGCTCGTTCTTGTGAGAACTATTAGATCCGTTCTCCTCATCCAAGAAACCAAAGTTGGGCTTGACAAGTGCTTCGGCAACCCAGAGTTTTCCGTTTCTAATAATTTGAAGCGGTGAGGCAACAAAACTGTCGACCAACTCGGTCGACTCGACCCACTCGCAGTCACCAACAATGACTCTCCGATGAACTTCAACAGAACAACCTAAGCTTGCGGCCATTACTCTTAAAGTTGTGAGACTCTCTTCCATCTCATCTTTGGTGAGGCCAACAAGAGTGCCATCATCAGCGACACCAATCTCGTACAAGGCTCCCCTTGATTCCTCC